GTCAGGATGCACTTTTTTCTCAACCCTGTGACTGATATTAACATTTGTATAGCCCAGGTAGAAAATTAAATCACAATGCTAAGTAACCCCTGGGAAATTCAAAGAAATATTTGCTACACAGTAGGTTTTAACGATTTCCAGTATTTTAACAAGTAAAACGGTTGTAAGCGGACCGAATAGCTCGGAGGAACTCAAGGCCGCGGAATGTATTCGAGTGTCAGGGGTTCGAGTCCCTGCCAGGCTGTTACATATCAATATAAATCTGTCAAGAAAAATAGGGAGGAACTGTCTAAAAATAATATCACCCTAAATAGGATTCGGATCGGGTTCGGACAGTCTTTTGATTGAAAAGTCAGAAGATGAACTTGTAAGGGGTGGGGTGCTAGTCTGATTACCATCATTTGATGTCTGACGAACTTCATATCTAAATATATATTGGTACGCATATAAACACCTGTTTGCTGAATTTAATATCAAAAATGTTGCAATTAATTAGTAACTTATATGCGTATTGTAAACTAGGATTAAAACTAATTAATCTTCGGCGTAAAGCATGTAGAAATCTGACCAGTATTCACCGCGAGGTCACAAACTTTAAAACTTTAATGTAAACATCACAATAATACTTCTTTATATACTATTTCTATTCTTTGACAGGGACACAGAACATCTCTTACATGTTTAAGAAACAAGAAATTTACATAATAATCTATCTAAGATATTCTTTTACTTCTGAATAGTAACAGACGCAAAACACGGTACTTAAGCGCTTAGACGAACGCAGACGCACGCTAATAAGAAACGCACGCTTTCAGACGCACGATAAACAAAAAACAATACACGGAAAACAAAAAACGTTAAACGCTTGAAAACGATGCACGCTTGAGAAAGCGTTTCAGCAAACGCACGTTGCACGCTATACGCACGCACGTTACACGAAAAACGGACGCACGAAAAACGCTATTTTTGACAACCGAAACGTTCACCCTACTGTACTCAGGTTAGGTGGCTATCACTACAGAATTCCATTGAAGCTGTACATTCAAGTTGGTCAGCTTTGGTGTTAGGGTTAGAACATGAGTGTGCAACCAGCCCCCAATCTGAGGGAGGTAACAAAAGTAAGGGTATTCTTAGGAAAATCAAAACTTTCGAAAAATCGAAACATTTCAACCATACGCCTTCTTAAAGATATTCTAAGTTGGATTTGCAGGCTGTCAAAGTTTTTACAGAAAGATAATATTGACATACTTCAGGTTGATAGTATGATCTAGGCTACAAAAGCTACTATTTCTGCACTTAGTGGTTCTATTGAATCTCCCTCAGTTCAGGAGCTGATTGACAGCATAGATGATACTGATACTTACCAAGGCGTTACTTTGTCTTGTTCTTTGAGGGATAGATAAACATTGGCCAATTTGAGGAGAACATTTGTGGGTCATTTTTTGGCAGAATTTGAGAGTAGATTTCCTCCTGATGATATGAAAATCCTCAGAGATCTAAATACTATTCTCAACCCAGCATTGCTTCCTAGTGACCATGAGGGCATTATCAGCCATGGGGAGGTAGAACTTGATAGGGTCCTTGATTTCTATGGGAATCTTCTCAACAGAGAAGAATTAAAACATTCTTTTGTTCAGTTTAAGTACCTCTTGAATGTCAATAGGCAGTTATCATTGCAGGAAATATGCAAAGATATTATAACTAAACAATCTGAAACATTCCCAGAGTTTGCCAATATGGCTAGTATCTTGCTGACAATCCCTCTAACTTCTGTCTCTTGTGAAAGGGGATTCTCATTCACAAAACAGTACACATCTCAAGGTACAGTAGTAGGAGGACTGTTGAAAATGTACAAAATAGAATGATGATCCACTTTTCTGCCAATCAGCAAGGTTTTGAATCTAATGAAGTTATTCAGAAAGCTATAGAAAAGATGTTTCAATAAAAATACTGATATGTGTTTAACTGACTTGCTTGTCTTTATAGTTTGTACCCCCTAAATATTCTGTGAAGTGTACCCCCAAAAATATGACCTAGGGGGTACATGTACCCTCAAATTTAAATTCTATTGGGAACACTGGTCAAGGGCAATAACTCTTCAAATACTAAATAAATCCACAAGAAAATACCCAGTTGCAAAATGTTGTCAAAATGAAAAAAAAAATGAAAATTTCAATAATATGACCTTCAAAGTCAAGGTCATTTATGAGTGAAGGTCAAGGTCTGTCTGGTTATTTTAAAGGGCTATCCTTGAAGATTATTATGTTCAAGTTTGAAGACAATCTATTCAAAAATAACAAAGTTACAGCCAATAATAGCAAGAATAAGCAAAATTTGGACTTTTGACCTTGAAGGTCAAGGTCATTTATGGATGAAGGTCAAGGTAAGTGTGGTCTACTGAAAGGTCTTGTCCCAGGGGTTGTTGTGGCCAAGTATGAAGACAATACACCAAGAAATAAACAAGAGGGTCATGATGCAAGAGGGCCATGATGGCCCTGAGTCGCTCACCAGAAACAACTGCTTTTCAATGTTGGAATGTCAATATTTCCTAATATAAAATTTAAGCATAAAATATGTTTAAACAATAATCTGAAGAAATGCCATGATCTGGGGCATTTAAGCTTTAGCTTAAACAGGGCTAATAAAATAAATATGAGCAAACTTGATAAAAAACTACCTAAGAATGCTACAAAACTTGGTGATCATCTATCAATTATTTCAGTAGATAATGATGTTCGAAGATTTTTTCTATTTTTAGCTTTAGTGGCCCCTAAAAGGGGCTAATCAAATTCATATGAGCAAACTTGATAAAAGAGTACCCAAAAATGCTACAGACAAAGTTTGGTGATCATCCATCAGTTAGTTCTGTAGAAGTATAGATTTTTAAAGATTTTTTCTATTTTTAGCTATAGAGGCCCCTAAAAGGGGCCAATCAAATTAATATGAGCAAATTTGATAAAAGACTACCCAACAATGCTACAAACAAAGTTTGATGATCATCCATCAATTCGTTCTGTAGAAATAGACATTTAAAGGTATTTCTATTTTTAGCTTTTGTGGCCCCTAAAAGGGGCCAATCAAAATAATATTAGCAAACTTGATAAAAGACTATCCAAGCATGCTACAGACAAAGTTTGGTGATCATCCAACAATTTGTTCTCTAGAAATAGTTTTAAAAGTATTTCTATTTTTAGCTTAAGTGGCCCATAATTGGGGCCAATCAAATTCATATGAGCAAACATGATAAACGACTACCCAAGAATGCTACAGACAAAGTTTGGTGATCATCCATCAATTAGTTCTGTAGAAATAGACATTTAAAGGTATTTTTATTTTTAGCTTTTGCGGCCCCTAAAAGGGGCCAATCAAAATAATATTAGCAAACTTGATAAAAGACTACACAAGTATGCAACAGACAAAGTTTGGTGATCATCCATCTATTAGTTCTGTAGAAATAGACAATTAAAAGTATTTCTATTTTTAGCTTAAGCGGCCCCTAAAAGGGGCCAATCAAATTAATATGAGTAAACTTGATAAAACACTACCCGAAAATGCTACAGACAAAGTTTGGTGATCATCCATCAATTAGTTCTGTAGAAATAGACATTTAAAGGTATTTCTATTTTTAGCTTTTGCGGCCCCTTAAAGGGGCGAATCAAAATAATATTAGCAAACTTGATAAAAGACTACCCAAGCATGCTACAGACAAAGTTTGGTGATCATCCATCTATTAGTTCTGTAGAAATAGACAATTAAAAGTATTTCTATTTTTAGCTTAAGCGGCCCCTAAAAGGGGCCAATCAAATCAATATGAGTAACCTTGATAAAACACTACCCGAAAATGCTACAGACAAAGTTTGGTGATCATCCATCAATTAGTTCTGTAGAAATAGACATTTAAAGGTATTTCTATTTTTAGCTTAAGTGGCCCCTAAAAGGGGCCAATCAAATTCATATGAGCAAACTTGATAAAAGAGTACCCAAGAATGCTACAGACAAAGTTTGGTGATCATCCATCCATTAGTTCTGTAGAAGAAGATGTTTAAAGGTTTTTCTATTTTTAGCCCTAGTGACCCCTTAAAGGGGCCAATCAAAATAATATGAGCAAACTTGATAAAAGAATACCTAAGAATGCTACAGACAAAGTTTGGTGATCATCCATCAATTAGTTCTCTAGAAATAGACATTTAAAGGTATTTCTATTTTTAGCTTAAGCGGCCCCTAAAAGGGGCCATTCAAATTCATATGAGCAAACTTGATAAAAGACTACCCAACAATGCTACAGACAAAGTTTGGTGATCATCCATCCATTAGTTCTGTAGAAGAAGATGTTTAAAGGTTTTTCTATTTTTAGCCCTAGTGACCCCATAAAGGGGCCAATCAAATTAATATGAGCAAACTTGATAAAAGACTACCTAAGAATGCTACAGACAAAGTTTGGTGATCATCCATCAATTAGTTCTGTAGAAGAAGATGTTTAAAGGTTTTTCTATTTTTAGCTCTGCTGACCCCTAAAAGGGGCCAATTGGAATGACATGAGCAAATCCAAGTGTGACTGTCACAAGGATGCTACAGACCAAATTTGAAGTAAATCTGCCTTGTAGTTTCAGAGAAGAAGACGATTGTTGACGCATGACGACGGACGACGGAGCATCCCCCTTTGATACTAATAGCTCACCCTGAGCCTTCGGCTCTGGTGAGCTAAAAAGTTATGATCCAGGTACAAGTTTGCGGACGGCAACGGCATCGGCAACGCCACCGCGACTATAGCAATACCTCTACTTTTTTTTTCAAAAAAAAAAAGTCCAGCTAAAAATGATCCAGGTACAAGTTTGCGGACGGCAACGCCGCCAGGACTATAACAATACCTCTACTTTTTTTTTAAAAAAAGTCGAGCTAACAAAATGACAAATTTTATTTATCAAGGCTATAAAATAAAGCACCACTTACACAAACTGTAAGTTTTTAATCTTTGAATACTGATTAATGATGTATTTTACCTTGATGTACAAAGTTGCTTCAGGCTCTCCTAAATTTGCTGTACACTGCATTACTAAACCTGCTTTTGTTCCTTTTAAATCTGATGCAGACTCTGAAATTTTAATACAGTATAGCAATTATCAATGTTTTTGTGACTTTCTTGTTTTATGTTCTTAATACAACACTAAGTCAGACTTTAAACTTTCTGCATCATTTTATTATCAACTTGTGGAGGTTTTTGTCACAAACACATGTACTTTAAGGATGGAACAGCAGCATGTAAATCCCATCTGTGAAAGCTACGCAAGTTTTATTCCTATTTATAGCTCTGGCGGCCATTTAGTGCTGTGAAGCAGAACTTCAAGGCAATATGCACAACAAAGGTTGATACTGATCACTCCTGTGTATATCCCTCAAATTCTTCCCTGCAATTTGACCTGTGAAGGGTGGACAAGATTTTTCTAGAATAAGTTTTTGTGCAGCAAAGCAGTACATGCCAGTGGTATGAATAACAAGGGTTGGCAATAATCATTTCTATGAAATTTCGACAAATCCTGCCAGCAATTTCACTTGTGAAGTGAATAAGGATTTTCTATTTTTATCTCTGCCAGTAATTTTGTGCAGCACAGCAGAATGTGCATTTAATATGCACAACCAAGGTTGGTACTGATCACTCCTGTAAAGTTTCAGCAAATTACCTCACGCAGTTTGTCCTGTGACAGCCGCACAGGAATTTTCTATTTTCTACTCTGGCAGCCATTACACCAAGCACAGCAGAATGTGCACGGATCAAAAAAAATTTTCATCCTGCAGGATGAGTTGCTTCAAATTTCTACTTGTCCTGTTTTTTGTGCACGATCTACAAAATAAATCTCCCGATGCTATTGAACCTGGCCGATGCAATCAACTGCTCAAAATTTTCATAATCAGTTGGTTTACACAAATTTAACAAACCAAAACCATAAACAAAGCTTGTGTTTTAGGTTTTGTCTAAAACTATAAAACAAGAGGGCCATGATGGCCCTGAGTCGCTCAATAGAAACAACTGCTTTTCAGAGTTGGAATGTCAATATATTCTAATATTAAATTTCAGCATAGAATATGTTTAAACTAGAACTATCGCTGAATGGGATTCATACCCCCACCAATGTTCTTGACAGAAGACGACTTGGAAAGGTGGTTAAGAGAATAACTTTAGTGGCACAAATACATATACATAAAAGGAAATTAACTCTCATGAAAAAAAGACTAATTGTACAGGTATTAGTATAAATATATATTGTCAAATCATGTTCAAAACAGTTACAAACTAGAACTATCACTAAATGTGATTAATACCCCCACAAGTCTGCTTCGGAAATGAGGATGTTACTAGTAACAGAATACCTTGTAATAGAATTGAAACATAGAGTTATGGTTGTGGGCAATTAAAGATAATTGTGGTTCATGTATGTTGCATTGATGAAGTTTAATTGAATTACTCTGTAATAAGTCCAGAAAGACAAAGAAAAAGAACAAAGGGCAATAACTCTATAAATACTGAAGATAGAGTTATAGTTCTTGTGCACTGCACTTCCTCTTATTGTGCTTGACCATTGTATGAAGTTGTTTTGAATTCCAACCAGTACGTTTTAAGTTATGCTCCGGACAAGAAAAAGTATCAAAGGGCAGTAACTCTGTATTTTGTCAAAATGGAGTTATGGCTCTTGTGCACTGCACTTCCTTTTAATGTCCTTGACAACTGTATGAAGTTGTACTGAATTCCAAACAGTAGTTTTCAAGTTATGCTCTGGACAAGGAAAAGTAACAAAGGGCAATAACTCTGTAATTAGTCAAGATGGAGTTATGGTTCTTGTGCACTGCACTTCCCCTTATTGTGCTTGACCATTGTATGAAGTTGTTTTGAATTCCAAACAGTAGTTTTCAAGTCATGCTCTGGACAAGGAAAAGTAACAAAGGGCAGTAACTCTGTAATTAGTCAAGATGGAGTTATGGTTCTTATGCACTGCACTTCCTCTCAATGTGCTTGACCATTGTATGAAGTTATAATGAATTCCAACAATAAGTCTTCAAGTTATGGTCCGGACAAAAGAAAGCAATGAAAAATTAACAAAGGGCAATAACTCTGTAATTAGTCAAGATGGAGTTATGGTTCTTGTGCACTGCACTTCCCCTTATTGTGCTTGGCCATTGTATGAAGTTGTTTTGAATTCCAACCAGTAGTTTTAAAGTCATGCTCTGGACAAGGAAAAGAAACAAAGGGCAGTAACTCTGTAATAAGTCAAAATGGAGTTATGGTTCTTGTGCACTGCACTTCCTCTCAATGTGTTGGACCATTGTATGAAGTTATAATGAATTGCAACAATTAGTCTTCAAGTTATGGTCCGGACAAAAGAAAGCAATGGAAAAGTAATAAAGGGCAATAACTCTGTAATTACTTTAGATAGAGTTATGGTTCTTATGCACTGCACTTCCTCTCAATGTGCTTGACCATTGTATGTAGTTATATTTAATTCCAACCATTAGTCTTCAAATTATGGTCCGGACAAAAAAAAGAAGGCAATGGAAAAGCAACAAAGGGCAATAACTCTGTCATTACTTTAGATAGAGTTATGGTTCTTGTGCACTGCACTTTCCCTTATTGTGTTTGACAATTGTATGAAGTTGTTTTGAATTCCAACCAGTAGTTTTCAAGTTATGCCACGGACAAGGAAAAGTAACAAAGGGCAATTACTCTGTAATTAGTCAAGATAGAGTTATGTTTCTTACGCACTGCACTTCCTCTCAATGTGCTTGACCATTGTATGTAGTTATATTGAATTCCAACCATTAGTCTTCAAGTTATGCTCCGGACAAGGAAAATGCAACGGACAAAAAAAAAAGCAATGGAAAAGCAACAAAGGGCAATAACTCTGTAATTACTTTAGATAGAGTTATGGTTCTTGTGCACTGCACTTCCCCTTATTGTGTTTGACAATTGTATGAAGTTGTTTTGAATTCCAACCAGTAGTTTTCAAGTTATGCCCCGGACAAGGAAAAGTAACAAAGGGCAATAACTCTGTAATTAGTCAAGATAGAGTTATGGTTCTTGTGCACTGCACTTCCTCTCAATGTGCTTGACCATTGTATGTAGTTATATTGAATTCCAACCATTAGTTTTCAAGTTATGCTCCGGACAAGGAAAATGCAACGGACGTCTGGACCGACCGACCGACCGCCCGACCGACCAACCGACCGACCGACCGACCGACCACCGAGTGACTCCTATATACCCCCCCAAACTTTGTTTTTGGGGGTATAATAACCTTTCATTTTCCCAATGTACTAGACATTTTCTAAGTCAATTTTTGACCTTTAAGTGTGGCCATGACCTTAAGCTGGCACAAGGGTAAGATGTGTTCTGCACATTGCCCCTTTTAGGGGCCAATCAAATTAATGTGAGCAAACTTGATAATAGGCTTCCCAAAAATGCTACATACAAAGTTTGGTGATCATCCATTAATTAGTTCTGTAGAAATAGATATTATGATATTATGAATGATTGTGATAGTTTACGTCACAATCATTATTTAGAAATAGATATTTCATATTTTATATCATTTTTTTTTGTTTTTAAATGTAGATTTCAAATATAATAGTTTTATTTTGGTAACTTTAAAATAGTTACAATTTTACCTAACAAGAGCTGTCGGTAGGACAGCACGCATGACTATTCGAAGTGCTTGATAGTAAAAGAGCCTTGATAACGTAAAATTTAGAGCTTTGATAATGTTAAATTTTCTAAGTTCACAAAAGGGCTATTTTTTTTTATAAATTCATGTAATAGGCCTAGCTTAGAGACAGTCTAATTATACAGTATTGGCTTGACTCTGCGGAAGGTAATGTCACAAGGGTGTTTTATTTAGTATAATAATACTAATTACCTATGAATACATAAATTTGACAGAAAAGGTACAAAGGCTTGTTATTAAGATGTTTTATCAAGTAAATCACTGCTTTATTATTATGAATGCATATAATTGTCCCAAAAAAGGCACAACCCTTCAGTAATTATAGAGATAACAGCTTACAAGCAAAACTTTACCATGAATTTCTAAGTTGAAAAAGGGGAGAAAAATCAGCCTAAATGCAAGATAGAATTATGGATCTTTGTCAGTGACCTACAATTATGACCCTAAATGCATATGTGAAGTTTTAAATAAATATCTTTAATAGTTATTGAGATATGTAAAACTTGCATGTAAACATTAACCAAGAGACTAAGTAGAAAAGGGGTTATGAATCAGCCTTAATGCAAGATAGAGTTATGGAACTTGGTCAGTGACATACAATTATGACACTCAAATTATGACCCTAAGTACATGTGTAAAGTTTCAAGTAAATATCTTTGAAGATCTTTAACCTTTAACCAAAATTTTCTAAGTTTCAAATTTAAGGGGCAAATAGTTCTGCAAATATTGCAGGCAGAGTTATGCAATTTTGCAAACTGATGTACATTGTTACTATAAAAAAATACTCAAATTTCATTTGAATATCTCAAGCAATAATTGAGATATTTGACTTTACAAAAAAACTTTAACCAAACTTTCTAAGTTTAAAAGGGACATAATTCTGTCAATATTGTAGGCAGAGTTATCCAACTTGTCAATCTGATGTACCTTGTTACTATAAATAAGTATTGTAAGTTTCAATTGAATATCTCAAGAAATAATTGAGATATTTGACTTTACAAAAAACTTTAACCAAAATTTCTAAGTTAAAAAGGGGCATAATTCTGTCAATATTGTAGGCAGAGTTATCCAACTTGTCAATCTGATGTATCTTGTTACTATAAACAAGTATTGTAAGTTTCAATTGAATATCTCAAGCAGTAATTGAGATATTTGACTTTACAAAAAACTTTAACCAACGCAAGCGCCGACGCGGATGCCGACGCCGACGCCGGGGCGACTAAAATAGCTCTCATATTCTTCGAATAGTCGAGCTAAAAATAGTTTTATTTTATGTAAGCTGTCTAACAAAGACTTGTTAAGGTAATTTTACACCAAGCTTTACAGCCAAGCTACTAGTTCTGGCTTCCAAAACTTTATAAGCCGCTATTTAACATTTTTG